TACATTTTCTGGATTATATGTCTCATCCCATTAATGGAAATCCTACGAAACAAGTTACTAGCAAACTTAGTTACCCGACCTTTTATTAACCTGCACACTATCGATGACATATTGGATGACAGAGTCGGTGTATATACCGATCCCTATACATACGGCCAGTTAAATTCAACTGGGTTCATTAAAAGCTTACATAATAACACATTTAACGCAAAATTATTACAATTAGTGAGACATAAGCTAAAAATAGTTGGTTCCCCCGACAATATTGAAGAAAATGTAAAATATTTAGGTCATACGGACCTTATATATGACAAAATGAAGTATACGGTCGGCGTTTTGGACCAAATATATGTCGACATTGTTTACCAATACGCAGCGCGTATGGCATCCGTCCATTTGGGTCAATCATATCTACCGGCCCTCATCACCGCCCTATGTTATGGACCACAGTTTACATTCATTAATGAGACAAATATTATGTAGGTACTTGTTATTGTTTGTTACTTTATAATGATCTTGATTATACATTTTGTATGCAGCACTCAACGGTTATTTGAGGCATCGCTGTTGACATATTGGATGAAAGCGGGCAAACAGTTTGTCATTGATATTGTACATGTGATTGCTAATAATAAAGTTTTGCTAAATGGTATCAGTATGTCCGACTTGTACCTGGACACGAGCACACCGGTCCAGTGCCTAACCCTTATTGAAATGCAATCGCTTTTCGTATTTATATTTTATTGTTTTAGTTTTGCTTTTATCGTATTAATTGTAGAAATGTTTAAATATCATATAAATTTTATATTTCAAATATTTTTTATTAGGTTTCGCACCGTATTTCATAATATATTTAATATATGAACGTATGTTTGCATAAACGTCGGATGTGTCAATAATATAATGCTTACATTATTGCCAAACATAACATTTTGCATTTGGTTACAGTTTCTTTTATAAAATAATTTCTATTAAATAATTATTTAAAACTAATTAACTAATTGAAATACTTTAAATAAATAAAATTAAATATACTCCTGCAATAATTTCTAAATTTAATAATACATTTTTAATAAAGTTTTTAGTTATTACAGAATTACTTGAATTTTTGGATTAAAACCATAGGTATAATGAAAATAACTTAGATAATTAATTAAATGTAATATAACTATTGTAAAATCTTAAAAACAATAAGGGAATTTAAATATTTATTTAAATAAATTTTTACATTAAATATTTAACTTATAATTAAATTATAAAATAAGTTAAATATTTTTTAAAAATTTATAAATAATTAAAAGTTGGTAGATAATGGTAAATTTATGATTAATAATAAATATGAATTTATGAATAGAAAAATATTATATTCATTTTATTTAAGCAGTATCAGATTAATATCTATAATAATAAGCATAATATTTTATTTTAACTATATCCGACGTTTTTACACGAAACGGATCATATTTTAATTTAATTTGTTTCAATGTTTGCATGATTTGCTTCTATTGGTTTAAAATGCAAAGTTGTTACCAGGCTAGTTGTCATTATAGTAACAGTATGGCACTCAATGATATACCGTATAGATTCAATACTATAGATTATAAGTAAATATTTGAATGAACATGTTTGTAAATTAATATATTTAGTATTTCGATTTAGAATATATTAATAAATAAATATAGCAAATTACTATCCAAATAATGTCATATAAATCACTAATAATAAAATACATTAATACAAAAATTAAAAATCAAAAACACTTATTATATGATTAATTGTGTTGTTTATATAAATACTTAATACCGGTATTCGTAAACATGTTTATTGTATTTTGTTAGTAACTCATATTTGTTAATTTACGGCTCATTTATCTACCTTAATGTTATTTCACAGCAATAAACTTGACTTGATGTAATTAACATTGGCTTGACATTCAATGCTGTATTAAATAATATTTTATAATATTGTACTGAACTGTATAATATCATTATTAATAATACTTATTATTCATCATTTATTACCTTAATATAATTTATAAATATTAATTAGAGTATAAAGCAGAGTTTAAGCCAATCTTTTATAAATTCCACTTTCATAAAATATTAATAAATTTCACTTGATTGATACAAAAAAACTAAAATATTGTGTAGTGAAATAAAATTTTATTATAAACTAAAATGACGAATTATGTTTGGTATTAATGATCCATACAAAAATGAATTAGGCATAATATAATCACTATTAATCTTTTTACTAAGTTTGTATATTTGTAAATTAAGTAAAAATAAAAATAATTTAACAAACTTATAAGTAAATGCATTTAATTGTATATGTGTTTCATTTCATTCGGTTTTGATGTTTAAATTTTAATTTTTATATCGCAGAAAAACATAATATTTAAGTCAAGTTATCATGGTAACCATATTTATTATTAAATAGTCTCAATTAAACACAGTTATGTTTACTATTAAGCTCTCGGCGTATATTCGAGGCATCGATTTTACAAAAGTGGTTCACAATGTTTAAACAATTTTAACTGGCTATCGGACAAAATATACTGGTCAATAGTGAGGCCCTTGGTGATAAATCAATGACCGACTATTACAAACATACTGTCGACCCGTACCAGTGCCTAACCATTGTTGAACTGCAATCCCTATTCTTATTCATTATTTATGTTTATAGCGTTTGTTTCATTGCTTTATTCACGGAATCTTTGTATAAAATAATTTTTAAAACTTAAACTTAAAATGATAATTATACCTGTTTCTGTTATTCTCATTAAATTCATTTATTTAAAATCTATTCATTTTATCATTTGATAATTATGGTAAACTTTATGTACTTAAAATAAATAGTCTTTAAATGATTTAGATAATAATAAATGATATAAATATTTTTAAAAGTATTGCTAAAATATATAATTATGATTAATTTATTTGAATAAAATCTAAATATAGACTAAAATAACATTATACTTTATATTAATGATCCATAGAAAATGAATTAGGAATAATATAATCACCATTAATTTATTTACTTAGTTTGTATATTTGTAAATTATATAAAAAAGTTTATCAACACTATAAATAAATGCAATATATGTGTTATGCAATAAATACTTAATATCCTTTTAATTCATTAGAATAATATAGAAATAAAAATTATCTACTTGTAAATACAAGGCCTATTTTATTAATAAATATTGAAACTTAATGAAATAGCCAACTTTGACTTCATTTCATATTTGAAATTTAAACATAAAATTTTGCTAAATTAGATAAACAATGTCTCTGAGAGATGCAATTGCAATGTATGGCGATCTCACCGAATACATAGAAAAGCATTCATTTGGTTATTGGCATAAATACGTGGATAATATTAACATGACTTATATTGACTGCCAACACATAAAGACAAATAATCATTCAATTAGTATATCCAATGATTTACTGCATAAACAGCCAAATGTTTTTTATTTAAAAACTGATTTTCAATCTGTAAGTAATAGAAAAGTATTATAATAATGAGCTTATCGTACAGTACATCAAATTGTTTTATTTTATTAATAGATTACGTTTTATGAAAGTGATGACCAGGGTGTTGCTTACTTTCATTCATTGACTGCAGCAATTTTATTTGAAATAGGGAAATTGGTTAATCACAGGTAAAATGAATATACAACTAATTTTAATATAAAATTTATATAATTTATGCAAAAAGGTGTTTTTATTACAAAATCCTTTTATATATAGTGTACACCTGTATGTGTTTACGTGCTCTCAGGATGACTACCCAAACCAATTGGAGTATAACATGGTTATGAGGGGACAGTTGTCTTGTATTAATAGATTACAAATTAATTTCATTAAAGAAACTTCAAATGATAATCCATATATTTGTTCAAGACCAGTCTATATAAGTAACCTGATAAATATCTTGAGTTTTAATTCATACCAACCATTGCCACCAATTATTGACATCTGGAAGGGTTTGGACACAAATGTCTGGTATTTGATAATGAGTTCACTATTTGTGTTCATTATTATCAATAGATTACTCAATAAATATGACAAGAATTCAAGTAAAACATATTCATTATCTCACTATTTATGGATATATTTAAAGCCTTTATTGGGTGAGGCTGAGCACCGGTACTATAACTGGCTATACATAGTGTGGTTAATATCTGTGATCCCATTACTGGAAATCCTAAGAAATAGTTTGCTATCAAATTTAATCACGCGACATATTGTTAGCCCGCACACTATCGATGATCTATTACACAATGAGATACAGGTATATACCGATCCCTACACCTACGAGAATTTCAAATCACCTAGCTTCTACAATAGTTTACATAATAACACATTAAACGCAAAAATATTGCAACTAGCCAAACATAAATTAGCCAATTTGAACAAGGCCGAAAATGTTCTCATGGCCTTAGAAATACTTAATGATCCTGGATCAATTCGTAATAAATTAAAGACCATGGTGTTTATTTTGGACGAGATTTATAGGGATATTGGATTCACTTTTTTTAACCGTTTTGCATCACCCCATAAGGGCGAGTCATACCTACCGGCCCTCATTACCACTCTATGTTATGGACCACAGTTTGCATTGGCCAAGGATACTGAAATTTTGTAATTGTTTATGGTTATTTATTGAATAAATTCGCAAGATAGTAATTTGTAGAAAACTACCCAACCCCTAATTAATTATGATTATAAACAATATGTGCATGCTAATATTATTTTCCAAGCTCATACAGTGTCTTTCACCATGGACCTCCGCCTTTTAATTGCAATATCTCAAAAACTAAACTAGATAGCAAGGTACTCTTGACGTTTTCTAAAACTAGAAAGTATAGCAAATTTTTTGACATA